CCTGCAAGGGATCTCTACTGTTTTTCATGGCCTCATCCCATGTCCAACCCTCCCTCTCATCCACACCTCTTTGGTCTGACACAACCTGTCCATCTTCTCCCGCAGCTATCCGCCCCACCCTTCCCACTGACCAATTTTCACTACCCACTACCTACATCCACCTATCACCATCCCAAATACCTCCACCCAGCCCCACCACCCCCATTTATTTCCAAGCTCCCTTCCCCCTCCCCAGTCGTGATGAAAGGTGTAAACCCAACACGTCAACTTTCCTGGTCCTCTGATGCTGCCTGACCTGCTGTGTTCCTCCAGCTCCACACTGTACTTACCTTTTATTGGTCTCAGTTTAATCTACATCAAGGGAACATTTTGTGGAACAAATGAAGGCCAACGTTGAGAAAATATTTAAATAGTTCAAGCCATGTTTATTTTCAGCAAGTAAGTACAGTGAGTTAGGCTGTTTTATTTTTGTAATAATTCCGAATAGGGCCTCAACTGCCATTCTTGACAAATTATTAGTAAATCAAGCTGTGTAAATATAACAAATGCTGAAATATCTAGATACATTAATTATGGAAACAATGGGCGTAGAAAATGACACATTGATGTAACTACAATTACCCGTTAACTAAACTTGACAGCTTTATAACAAGAAATAAATCATTATGACGATGTGGCAAGTTACCAGAATCTGTAACTATGGAATGCCATTTGCTAATTTACATTTGAAGGCCAAATATCTTCAAGTACAATGTGTTTTATTCTTAAGACTGTTGAGTTTGCACCCTTAGCTTGAAATCGGCAGGACTGTGGGCATGTTGGACTGTTGCCTGTGCTATCTTTTATAGGATGTACAGCACTGAGACAAACCATTCAGCTAAACAGGTCTCAACAGATATTTTTAATCAAATTATTCAGATGTGTAATGACACACTTCCGGAGCAGGCAGGACTTGAACCCAGGTCTTCCAACCCAGAGGTAGGGACACTACCAATGTACTGCAAGAGATCCTAAACTTAAAGTAACTGGAACTTGGATACAGACTGTCCACACTACCACAATAACAGGTCAACAGGTCTATGTTGGTATTTATGTTCCTACCACTTGTCACTTAAAGCTACTGTTGTAACTAGCCTTCTCCTTGAAATGCTGATTTACCTTCCTCTTAAATACATCTAAACTATTCACATTACTCACTGTGGTTGGTTACAGGTTAATTCTTTATGCTGTTTGGGTAAAGAAGCTTCTTTTCAATACTTCATTGGATTTATTTGTGATTATTTCCTACTCTAATCAAGAAGAAACATTCTCTTTTTCATTAACTTAGGCCACTAAATAGCACAAATGCCTTAGGACTATTTCAAAGCAGAGCAGGGGAGTTCTTCCTGTTGCCCTAGCCAACATTTATCATTCACTCAATCTCACAAAAATGGATGATCTGGTCCTGATCACAATGCTGATGTCAGGGTTTGCTCTATACCTTTTCTACATGCATTACGACATTGAGCACACTTCAAAACTAGGTTATGAAGCATTCTGAAACATCCGATGGTTGTGAAAAGTGGCATATGTGCAACTACAAACGTTCCCTCTATGCTGTGTGGCGGTGTACCCACTTGGTGGTCCTGCACAGGCTGATTGCTTTAAAAACATGATGGCTTTGCTTTCCAGAAGCCACTGCCATGCAAGAACTTTGGAAGTCCGCACACCTAAAAATAATTCAAGGGTATATAGAATGCAAACCTCAACAAGGGTTCTTGTGGTGCAGCCTGGGCTCAAGTGCCATCTGCTCCAGAGGTATGTCATAATGCCTCTCAACATGCTGATTTGAAAATATCTAGAATGCAAACCTACATTGAGTTCAGGCAGAAAAGTGAAGCTGCGACCAGAACCAGATGAACATGATCTTATACTGGATTTCCTAATCAACCTGTTCAGGGAAGTTATTACCCACCCCTGGAAGGGGTGAGATTTGAACCTGGGCCTTCTGGCTCAGAGATAGTGACAGTGCCACTGCACCATAGCAGCGCCTTTAACACGATCTTAAGAGTGGATGTTTGGTAGCTGGCATAGACCTGATGGATTGAATAGTTTTGGAATGCTGTTGTCTGCAATCACTCACGCATGAGCATGATTGTCCAAGTTCAGATATGAAATCTCCCAGATTTCATGAGACATTTCATGTCTTTCATGGGTTCTGTGGGTCCTTGTTTGGGAGGTGTTATAGGAGCTGGAAGTGGTCCTTGGCCTTGAGACCATTGACAGTTCTTTCTCCACTTCCTCTTCCATACTTCCTATCGCCAACTGGTGTCCTCAAATATTTGTTTCTTTGTCGGCTTCAAGTTTGTTTTGTCTGTACAAGGGTCTGCCCAAAATTTACATCTATCAAATATACTCTGATTCTCTATGATTGATTGATTTGAGGAAGCAGGCTCTAAGGGCTAAATAGCTCACTCATGCTCCTAAAGCCTATGTTCCTCTTTTCATTGGAGTACAATAGCCATGTCCAGAAGAGATCCCCTAATAAGAAAGCACAAACCCCAGATTACCATCACCAAGGTCCTTCCCCTTCCTCCAAAACACACAACCAAACTGGCCCACGTCACGTGACACACCGGCTCTTCTCCCCCGGCCGGCATTGAGCGCATGCGTCGCTGCAGGGACGATAAGGCCGGGCCGCCAGCCATAAGCCCCGCCCTTTACCCCCACCGGCATGGTGAATGACGTCGGGTGAATGACGGGAGCCCTGACCAATCCGAAATCGGAGGTGCGTCACTCACACTCCCCACGTGCCAGGATTAGACCAATCGGGAAGAACAGGGGTGGAGGCAATGGGGGAGACGGGGCGTGTCCCCGGCGGGAGGTGGCGTAAGGGAAAAAAGGAGGCGGGGTTTGTGGGTCGGTGTTGGGGAAGGAGGAGGGCGAGTCGCGCATGGGCGTTGGGCTTCCCTTTGTGGGTGGGGCTGGGCCGTCCGCGCGGCCTCCGCCTGTGGTGGTTGAAGGGGCCACAGACAGAGGAGGGTGGGCGGAGGAGCGGGAGGGCAGGGCTTTTCCTTTTTCCTCTCTCTCTCTCTCTCTCTATTTATCTCTGCACGGGCAGTGCGTCCATTTCCTAACCTTCCCCCACCCTCACACCCTTCCTCCACCGCCCCCCCCCCCGCCAACCAACTCACCCAACACCCCTCCCTCAAGCCCAACCACCAGCACCACCCCGCCCTCCCTCCCTTCAGTTTAATAACGTCAGCGAAAAGTACAAGCGGGGCGATTGTTGACGGCGCGGACAAGGTTTTTTTTAATGTGGCTCCGTGTGTCCATGTGAGGAAGAGGTGGTGGAGGGTGGTGGAGGAGGAGGAGGTGGTGGTGGGCGGCGGGGGGAGGGGGGCATTTTTTTTTCCCCGAAAAAAAAGCCAAAAAAAAATTCAAGGGATTCAAAAAAAAGAACCAACTTTCCCCCCCCCCCCCCTCCCCTCACCCCCCCCCTTTTTAAAAAAAAAACCCAAGAAGTGAGGGAGGGAGCAGAAGGGGGGGGGGGGGAAAAAAAAAACCCATAATATAATAACGAGAAAAACTGAGCCCCCCCCCCCCCCCCCCCCCCTCTCTCTCTCTCTCCCTCCCTCCTTCCTTCAGCCCGACCCCCCCCCTCCTTGAATAAATATTTATATGAAAAAAATAGTGGATGATCGATTTATCATGGAGGATAAGAAAGATGAGCACGAGTCAGAGATACAGGAACATTGCCCCGAACACTGGTTTTCCAAATGGGAGAGGCAATGCCTGGCGGAGAGCGAGCAAGAGGAGCAGACCCAGGAGGAGAGGGCGTCGCTAGAGGAAGAGCAGACCCAGCAAAAACTTTGGCATTTATTTCAAAATTCAGCCACCGCCGTCGCCCAGTTATACAAAGGTACCGACCGGCGAAGGTCCGCCCTTCTGCTTTCTCTCTTATTTGGCCGGCTTGTGCTTTTATTTGACATTTTAAAGTAACCTTTTTTTTTTAAAAAAAAAAAAGAAAGAATTATTATTTTCTCTCCCGGGAGAGACAGCAAAATGATGGGAGTTGGAGGGTGGTGGGGGAAGGAAGGGAGAACTTTTTTTCTTTAATTTCCAACCCCCCACCCCTTTCCACACACGCAGGCGGAAGCTGCAGGGATTTTGAGAGAAATAATCGTGGGATTTATTCGTTGCCTTTTCTCTTCCCACCCCATCCCCTTTAAAATGTCGGAGAGGGGGGTTTTGTTGGTGTTGGGGGGAGGGGAGAGGGAGAAAATACCTTTTCTTTTAGAAAGAACAGTCGCAACTAAAATGGCGAAATCAAACATGGCCGTCTGTCTCTCTCTGTGTCTATCCAAGAGGGTTGTCCATTTGTCTTGTTTTTGATATTGTGTGCATCTTAAGTACTGAGTTTGCATTGATTGCTCTTCTGATTTTTCTACCCCCTCCTTCCCCTTCTACCTTTCCCAACACCTCCCTCCCCCTTCTCCCCTCCCCGTGTCTCTTGTGTGTGTGTGTTTTTTTTGTAGATCGGGTCTGTCAACAACAAGGGCTGTCACTCTGGGTCCCCTTTCAAAATGCCGCTTCGGCTGTCACCAATGTGTATAAAGGTAAATTCAAACCCTCTTTCTGTTGGCTGCACTCGTTTGTCACTGTGTTAGGATGGTTGAAGGGGTTTGGAGGGGTGGGGAGGTAGGAAGACTGTTTAAAGTTTGCACTTGATTGGGGCATGAACTCCTTTTTTTTTCTAATTTATACAAAATAAATGTGCATGCCTCCCCTCTATTCGAAGTACAATTTAAAAATAAGATGGAGTGCTGCTACATAGTTAATTGCAGTTCCTAATAATGACCAGCAGCAACTCAATTGCTTCCGTGAATTATCGGGGTGGAAGGTGAAATGTTGAGGTTCAACTCCAGTAAAGGCTCCAATGCAGAAGTTTGTTTATATTATAACTTGTTCAAAAATATCTTGCTACACTTCTCTCTTATGAGAGTGTTAATCTCGAGAACTGAACTAATTATACTCAGACTTTTGAAATGATTTTACTTTTCTGAATAATTTTACTGAATGGGTTGAGTCCGGGAGCCCCCTCCCTTCTCATTCCAATGACTCAGACTTTTAGATAGTTCATGCAGTCAAAACAAAACTGCTGCAACACATTTCCATTCTTGCAGTAAGCATTTGTAAGCCATTTTATCTAAGTCTGTTCTCGTGACATTGGTTACTTCCATTTTAGTGTTTTTCATTAGGTTAAAATTCTGTTCCAGCTGGTATTTAATAATGAGCAGAGTGTACTACTTTTCTATGGGGCAAGTGAGGTTGTTTTCATTTGACAGTTGGAGAATTTCAGTTAAGGCATGTACCTACACTTAAATCAGTTATATAAGTGACTTTTTTCCTCAGCATTTGTGCAATTCAATTATCTTAAGCTCAGTTGTGCAGAATTGTGTAATAACACATGCTAAAGCATTGATTTTAATTTTGTCTCAGGATTATGTAACCTGTATTGAGTGTTTAAAAAAAAATTAGTCTTCATACTTGTAAATTATTGCAGAACCTTTACTGAATAATTATTGTAGAGGGCTATAATAAAGAACCAGGAAATGCTGCATTTCCTTTTAAGTTGTGATTTGTTTTTAGAAGACAAGTGTTTTTCTAAAAAAAAAATCCTATCTATTCATGGCAGGTCATGTCAGGTTTCTGAATGTTCTTCCTGGGCAGATATAATTTACTTCCTGGTATAATTGTTTGCATCATACTCTACATAGGCTGCAGAGTGGCCAAATCTTAAATATGATGCCTGCCCTTGCACTGCAATGCTGTCAATTGGAAGGGATTCTGAAAAAAATAGATCAAACCTCATCATCTTGCCACAACATATCAGAACAAAAAGCACAGCTCCAATAATTCATTTGGCATTAGTGATTTTATATTTAAGCAGTACTGTTAGTGACTGAATAATGCTTTGTGTGTTTTATGGGGAAATGTTTCTGATTTGACAAAATAGTGTACAACTGGGACATCTGAGCACCACAAAGAAATGAAAATGAACCCTTGCTGGCCAAAATCTGATTGCAAACTACTATTAATACAAAATTTCTCAGATTAATCATTCAGTAGTCAAGCAATTTGATAAAGTGGTATAGGAAGATTGATCGAGTTGATAGGAGTAGAAAACACTATGAAAGGAATGCTTTGGCCAACAGTTTATATGGTTAAAGATGAAGTTCAAAATTCTTATTAGTGAAATTAGTTTTATTTATTGCAGTTATGCTGATAAAGCTTTTTGTGGTGAGGTGGCCTATACTATCTGGCTTGAAAAGGTCTCCGTTCTATAGCCTGCAATTAGACATTTTAGCCCATGTGGTTTTCTTTGGACCTGCCAGAAGCATATTTGGCCAGTGAAATTTAGTCAGTTGTGTTGATCATATTTTCTTTTTCTATAGTTTTTAAGTAGCTTTCCAAATTTGTTGACAAAATAATTGTAGTTTAAACTGTGCAACTAGTAGCAGAAATTTAGTGATCTCCAGCTGTAATTATTAATAACATATTTGGCTTTCATCTTCTGAATTTGTTTTATTTTGGTTCTGTGACTTTTGAACACTACTGTATGATTTCCCATGCAAAAACTAAAGTAACGAAAAAGGCTCTTGAAATATATTTCCAGTTTTGGGCAGGTTCTAGTGAGTTTGATCCCTGTAAGAGTGCGCACAGAATTATGAAATAAACTGAACTTGAAATACTGACAATCAGTAGCATCTTTTACTTCAGTGATCAAATGAGCAGTACAAGTGGGCTGTATTCAAAGCTTATTGTTTCTTGGCCTTCTAGATTAGAACTTAAATAAATTAGCCCCCTCAAGTGAGCTGTACGTGAAATTAATTAGTTTAATTTTTTAAAAATAAGCAGTAACTTAGGACAGAGTCCTTACTTTAGGTAAGTTTGTGTCCAGTAGCACATTAGCAAGTTTTAAATTATCATTTTTGGCACTTTTCATTTCTTGGTTCAGTTAATACACTGTCACTCACGTCCTGTTCCTCACTTTTTGTGCTCAAATCTGGTTGTCACTCCAGTGCAGTATTGTGCAGCATTCCCATTGGGTGAAAAATTCTATTCCAAAACTGTTGAATATCAGATTGTGATGTATAGAATTTTTTTATTCTGGAAATACCTAGCTATGCTGAGAAGTTTGTCACTGTTTTTGTTTCAGAAAGTATTGAAGCTCATCGCCGAAGCTATGACTTAGGAATTCAGGTCGGTTATCAACGGCGTAATAAGGATGTGTTAGCTTGGGTAAAAAAGCGGAGACGAACCATTCGACGAGAAGATTTGATCAGCTTCTTGTGTGGAAAAGCTCCACCACCACGCAACACCAGAGCTCCCCCTCGACTGACAGTAGTAACCTCACCCACTAGAGCACCCACAACAGAAACTAGTTCATCTGTAGAGACTGACTTGCAGCCTTTTCGTGAAGCCATTGCACTGCATGGTAATTATAACTGTTAAATGCTTAAGCATTTGTGTGGTTGGGGGTGGGAGGTGGGTTGGATATGTTTGATATGCATGTGAAGACTTTCAGCATTGTCCTACCTCAATTTTGACTACAAAACAGTTGAACAGGCATTGTGAAATGTTTCTATATTATAGTCTGGCAATTCAACATAATTGTATTAATTGCTCCTGCATCACAATAAACATTAATCACAGTAACAGTCAAAAGCACTGAATGGGAAATAGATTCAAATTTCCTTTTGAAGATCTTAGTACTTAAATATTTGATAGCATACTGCATTAGACTCATTTCAGGATACAGTACAAATGCATGCAAGTTGTACAACCAAACAACGAATGATCAGCATAGCTGTGTCAGCAATACATTTGAACTTGTTAATTTGCTTTCTGCTCTTGTAATTATCGTTGTACGTTCTGATAAAGCCAAGTGATTAACATGTATACCCCTATAATTAATTTTTGGTCTTTGTCTTTATTCAAGATAGACAAGATTCCCAGATCTAGAAGCGCATGAGGCAACCCATGAATTTTTTTTTTTATTTTTTTGGTAACTTGTTTCTCGAGTAACAAATCTGAAACCAAAGGCTACAGTTTGAGTGGTACCATTTCCTTCTAGCATGACTGATTAGGAGGCTCTTCCATTCTTGCTGTCTGCCCTAGGCACATTGGAGACATTTGCACGTTGATAATCAACCTGATTGGCTCAGTCATAAGTGTACCCTTAGTGGCCATACTATTTTGAACTTTTGCCTCAGGTAGAGATGCTACCCACTGCACCACAAGCGCTCCTTGTTCATGATGTATCCAGGCAAGATGAGTCTTGCACCAGGATGTATATACAGCTGCTTTAGATGGCTGTGAGGACCATACAAACACAACCAGTGTCTGCTTTGATACAGTAAAACAGTATGTTCCCATGCATTTTATGAAGGGAAGTGGGTCTTGTATGTGATAGCCACATTAGTGATGGTACTTTTGGAATTAGGGTTGTAGATCTGTGTTCATTGAGGTTTTACGTTTTCTAAGCTTGGTCTGACTGCAAAAATTTCGATAGATATGTGAATAGAAAAAGACTGGTGAAGACAAATGTAGGTCCCTTAAAGTTAGAATCAGGTGAATTCATAATGGGCCAAGAGATGGCAGACTAGTTGGATCGAAGGTTATTTGTGTTGTTCTTGCGGAAATGCTAGGGACAGAGGGTCAAGCATGAAGGAGGAACTGAATGAAATCCTCATTAGTCAGGAAATGGTATTGGGGAAATTGAGATTTAAACCAGATAAATCCTAAAGGCCTGATGCTCTCCCCAGAGTACTTAAGTGGCCCTAGAAGTAGTGGACGCATTGGTGATTATTTTCTAGCAGTCTATAGACTCGAGAGAGTTCCAATTGCCTGGAGGCTAGCTAACATAAAGCCACTTAAAAGGAAGGAGAGACAAAAAGGGGAATTCTAGGCTGGTTAGCCTGACACTGGTGGTAGGCAAAATGCTGGAATCAATTATTAAGGAGGTAATAACTGATTATTTGGAAAGCAGTGACAGGATTGGTCCAAGTCAGCATGGATTCACGAAAGGGAAATCATTCTTAACAAACCTTCTGGAACTTTTTGAAGATGTGACCAGTGGAGTGGACAAGGGTGAATTGGTGGACATTGTGTATCTGGACCTTCAAGGCTTTTGCCAGGGTCCCGCACAAGAGATTAGTAAGCAAAATTAAAGCTCATGGTTTTGGAGGTAATGCATTGACATGGATAGAGAAGTGGTTGGCAACAGGAAACAGATTTGGAATAAACTGTCCTTTTCAGAGTGGCAGGCAGTGACGAGTGGGGCACCGCAATGTTCAGTGCTGGGGTTCTAGCTGTTCACAGTATGTTGACAATTTGGATGAAGGAATTGAATGCAATATCTCCACATTTGCAGATGACATTAAGCTGAGTAGCAATGGATGCTGAGAGGTTGCAGGGTGACTTGGACAGGCTGGCTGAGCGTGCAGATACTTTGCAAATGTAATATAATGTGGATAAATTATTCTCCTTTGGCAAAAACAGGAAGACTGGTCACCATCTGAATAGTGGCAGCTTAGGAAAAGATGAGGTGCAACAAGCCCTGGGTGCCATGGTGGAACAGTTGCTGAAGGTTGGCATGCAGGTGCCTCCGGCAGTGAGGAAAGCTAATGGCATGCCAGCCTTCACAGCGAGAGGATTTGTATGTAGGAGTAAGGACGTCTTGCTGCAATTATTCAGGGCCTTGGTGAGGCCACAGCTTGAGTATTATGTGCAGTCTTGGTCTCCTGGTCTGAGGAAGGATATTCTCGCTACTGAGGGGGTTCAGACCGATTCCTGGGACGGCAGGACTGATGTATGAAAGACCGGATCGACTGGGCTCGTATTCATTCGAACTTAGAAGAATGAGGGGAGGTCCCATTGAAGAATAAAATCCTGACGGGACTGTGCAGGCTAGATGTGGGAAGTATGTTTCCGATGTTGGGAGTCCAGACCTAGGGGTCACGGCCTGAGAATAAGGGGTAAGCCATTCGGGACTTGGATGAGGAAGAATTTCTTCACTCGGAGTTATGAATCTCTGAAATTCTCTACCATGGTGAGCTGTTGGACCAGTTGGTTAGATTTTGTTCGAGGGAGCTTGACGTGACCCTTGCAGCTAAAGGGATCAAGGTATATGGCGAGAAAGTGGGAGTGGTATACTGAAATTGCATGACCAGCTGGATCATGCAGGCTTGAAGGGCTGAATGGCCTACCCCTCTATTTTCTGTGTTTCATTGGCTGGCTCCCTATATTGGCATTACTAAAAGCAACATCCCTGTGCTCTGAGCAGAATAATGGTCTTAGATTTTGTTTGGTCACTGCTGCCAGAATGTGAGAGCTGCTTTCTGCATGGAAACGTGGGGACCTAACACTCAAATTATTGCTCTTCGGTGTACTGTGGTCAAATATGTAAGTGTGTGATAAGTGTTTTGCCATACCACTACATTTACAGTGGATAGGCCACTTGTATTCCTGAGAATGGTAAACTGAACTACCCATGAATTGCTTCTGATTTGTCTTTGCAATGAAAAATGGATAATACACTCTTGCCCGCTGAATGAAGTGTCTAGTAACTGTAGATGAAGAAAACAAATTTTGAATTGCACTTGGAAAATGTAAATGTGGTGAGGATATTCGAAGTGTGAACGTTTGTCCTGTTTTGTTCTCCTAAATTTATTTTCATCAACTTGTAGCCCATTAAGTAACCAGAACTCATTGATGTAATTGCCTAGCCTAATTTCTAGATACCAACTAAGGGAGCAAGTTACTTATTTACTTATCTATCTAGGTGTCTGTACTGTTATTATATTCCCATATTTCTGAGTAAGTTGTATATCACAGATCAGCCTTGAAGGTGGATCAGGTTCAATGTGCCAAATGACCTACTCCAAATTTGACTTTTCATTCATTGCGAGGACAATGTGCTCAATTGAGTTTCTTTTTGTTATACAGAAAAAAATAGTGGGAATGACGTTTGTCGCTTTTGCTTATAAGAACTTTTTGCAAGAGTGATAACTTCATTTTGTTATTTCAACTAGTTTTTAATAGATGTTCGTCACTGCAGTAAGTTTTTTTTTTGCTTTTTTTTCCTTCGGTCTTGGCATGGATCTTTCTGCCTCCTTGTGTTTCCTTATTTTATGGTTTCACTTAGATTTGTACAATTGATCTCAGAATCCCAGATGACCGAGATTTGATTTGAAGGGGAAAATGGCAAGAGAGTAAGCTTGTTGGGAACATACAAACTATTTGGGAAAGCCTCTATAGCTATGTGGGGAGGAAAAGATGTGAAGACAATATAGGTCCCTTACAATTGAAAACAGGATAAGTTTATAATGGGGTGTGAAGATGGCAGAACACATGTTTTGCTTCTGCTTTCATAAACAAAGACACAACATCCCAAAAATGTTGGGAAATACTGGGTGTAGTGAGAGGGAGAAGTTGAAGGAAATCTGTACTAGTAAGGAAATGGGGATGGGGAAATTGGGATTAAAGGCCAATAAATCTGTAATATTTTACATAACAGGAGTTGAGGAAATGGCCCTAGAAAACATGGATGTCTGGGTGGTCATCTTGCAAGTTTTTGCGTACTTTGGAACTGTTCCTATGTATTGGAGGGTAGGTAATGTCACCCCCCTCTTTTTAAGAAAAGCAGAGGAAAAATGGAAATGCCAGACCAGTTAGCCTGACATTGGTTGTAGGGAAAATGCTAGAGCCCGTTGCAAAAGATTTACTTTCGGAGCACTTGTAAAACAGTGACAGGTTTGGTCAGAGACAACAGGGATTTATGAAAGAGAAATCATGCTTGCTAAATCTATTGGAATTTTTTGACGATGTAATAAATACAGTTAAGGGGGAAGCCACTGGATGTGGTTTACTTGGACTTTGGGAAGGCTTTTCGTAAGGTCCCACCTAAGTGATTAGCATGTAAAAGTGCATGGGATTGGGATTGTGCACTTACATGGAGACAATTGGTTGGGCAGATAGTAGACAGATTCGGAATAAATGGGTCATTTTCCAAGTGGTGGGCAATGACTGGTGGGGTTCTGCAGGGATCAGTGCTTGCACCCTGGTATTCACGATATATACGTGTTTTTAGATGAGGGAACTAAAATGTCATATCTCCCAGTTCTGCAGACAGCACAAAGCTGGGGCGGGTGGATGAAATGTGCGGAGGATCAAAAGATGCTGTGGTGTGGTTTAGGCAGGTTGAGTGAATGCATGCCAGAAAAGTACAATGTGGATAACTGAGTGTTTCTACTTTGGTTACAAAAGCAGGCAGATGATTATGACCTGTCCGTCCTCCCTGGACTGACCTATCCCCTTCCTAACTCCCTACCTACACTCACCTTTACTGGCTCCATCCCCGCCTCTTCGACCTGTTAGTTTCCTCTCCTCTATCCCTCTTCTATCCGCCTCCCACTCGCTCCCTATTTATTTCAA